AGCACCTGTTCCCTTACTCTCTCCCTTTTCCCCACAGTCAGGATACTGCCTTACAGCCTAATTAAAACAATGTTTACATTTTTGAATATCAAAAAGTGAGTGACCAGCAGCAGTACCACTTCAAAAGAAGCTTTTTTTTTTAAACTCAAGTCTAGTTTCTCTTAGCTCTTACTTCTGCACAAAGTTGTTTCTTTCCCACTGTTTTCTCATGAGAAATGCAACACATGCCACACCCAGAACAGCTTTAATTCTTATTTAAATACATTTGTCCCAACCCAGTAGATTATGGCACTGCAAATACTACTCTGGCACTTCTCCTAATTTAACTAGTTTTAGGGCAAACTGCAGAAGGGCTAGTTTAGAAGCAACATAAAAGGTGACACTCTGATGTAGGAAAAAGGTCAAGTTCTTGCTTCCAAAGCTCATTTAATCATGTTGTTTGATAAATACAATGGACGTTGATTTCATATAGCATTATTCAGCACAAGCAATATGTTCAAATGCTTTCCAGAATTAAACTTTGCATTGCATAGCACAAAGGAGAATTTTTTAAACTTTTTAGAGCAGTCATCAGATTATCTTCAAAAATAAATCAATATCACAACCCCTATCCCAAAAGGGAGAAGTGTCAGAATCCAGGGAGTCCACTAGGAACATTACTTTTTGTTTTATGTGGAAAGTAGCTCGCTATTAGTTATGGGAAGTAGCAAAAAAATCCTTAGATTTTATATTAAAAATATATTTTTCCAAAATCAGAAGCAAGCAGCTCTTGAGGGCTAAAGTGTTAAACACTAGGAAAAAATAGATAAGGCTATTTTCTTGTATTGTAAGCCCAGGCACTGCATTTAAGAGAACCATAGAAAACATAAGGAGAGGAAGTCCAAGACAGCTTGGCATAATTACCAGACTTATTGGATCATAAGGGATTTCTACTTCAAAGTGTTACTCAGTGACCTGAGACTGGCTACATCCTCTGTTTGTTCTAAATGAAAATGTTGTGGCCGTTGTGACCAAAAAAACCATGCTTATCTGCTAACTTTACAATAATGGATGTTGTCCCTGGGATACCCTAAAAAATGTTCAAAAACCTATTTCCTATATATCGTAGATAAATGGGAGGCTGATATCAACAAACCAGTGTGATTTCTAAAAGCAGATGTTTGCCCTCTTTTCTCTTCCCTCCTTTTAAAACTGCATCTTGCAAAGAGCACCACAGTAATGAAAACCAAATGCACCCTAATCTCTCAGATGATTAGAGAATGGCTGACTCCTCTAATTATGGCTCCTCAAGAGGCTGTAGTTAGTGTGGATCTTACTGTAGGCCTGCATGTACCTCAAGGAAAGTATGACTGGATTTAAAACAAAACCCCAAAACATGCAGCTTGTGCCTTTTTGTGAAGGCCAAGGGCATAGAGCAGTGGTTCTCAAGCTTTTTGGCCCACAACCCACTCCGCTTAAGGCAGACCTTTCCACCAACCACCAGCCAACCATCCATGATAACAAAGTGGGTGCAGGAGGGTGCAGAGTCTGACTGGGAGGGAGGGTGCAGGAGCAAACTGGGGGTGGGAAGATCTGGGTGGGAAGGAGGGTGCAGGAGGGGGCTGGGCTGGGCGGGAGGGAGGGTGCAGGAGCAGCCTGGGGGTAGGGTGCCTGGGCAGCACCACTCACAGACACTGCCCCCTCCTGTTCCCATTAGGGAGGTAAGCAACTAGTCAACTATCCAATAAGAAAAACAAGTGAATAGCTCTTTGCTTTGGATATGTTGTACCATTTGTGAAAATGTATGCTAGTGAGTCTTAGAGGACAAGTAGGTATAAAGCTCTAGGAGGTTCACATGCAAGCCCATCTTGTTTGCATACCCAGGTCTCTTGGATTGCCAAGGGATTTCCCCAACCAGACCCTGTGCCTAGAGATTAGGTCAGTCAACCCCACACTTTTCACGACTGCCTCTACGCTCCTGCCCCAGAGCCAGGCCACAGTTCGTGTGTGGGGGGGGTGCAGGGAACAACACTGAGGTCACAAGTGGAGGTAGGGCTGAGAGTGGAACCATAGGTGGGGGGTGGGTCAGAGGCTGGGGGTGGAGCTGAAGCAGAGCTAGGGACAAAGGAGGGCTGTGGCACTCCCTCCATTCCCCCTTATCAGGGTTGACCTGGGCTCTGGGATTGTGACCTGAGAGAGGAGTGTAGAGTCTGGAAGGGATTGTGACCAGAAGGGATGGTGCAAGGGTTTGGGTGGTGACCGGGGAATGAGGAAGAGGCAGGGAAAGGAATGTTGACCTGGGGCAGGTGCTAGAGTCAAGGTCTGGCCAGGAGGCAATTACTTAGGCAGCTCCCAGCCAGCAGCGCAGCAGGACCCTAAGACAGGCTCCCTGCCTACCATCAACCCCAAACCAGTCAAAAAAAAAAAAAAAAAAAACATACCAGCTGGATGCTCTCTGTGGTTTTCTGTTCCAGGCACACAAGGCTTTGTGCACCAGCCCTGCCCACCCTGCAAAATCTCTCTGCTCTTATTGGCCAGAAGCTGGCCAATAGGGGGAAAGAGATTCTGCAGGTGAGAGTGGGGGCAGTGCTCAAAGCCTCTGCCTCCCACAAGAGCACAGAGCCACAGGGAGCAGCCAGCTGCTTAAAATGGCATAGGGCTGCTCTGTGCTTGAGTCCCAATAGATTACAGCCTTTGAAAAAAAGGAGTCCTTTTCTGTGCATTTTAGAGGGATACTAGATCTAGTGCAAAGTGACTAAGAGCCTGGGATTGGCTGCTGTAGCTCTTCCCTTTAGAGGTGGACAGTGAAGGGCCTTGTAATTTTTGCACTTGCAATCAGAAACCTTTATCAGCAAAGCCAGTCCAACTGGCAGGAGTCAATGCTCTTCATTCGTGGAGATGTCCAAACCACTGCATCAGATTGTCTCAACAGGTGTTCAACAAGGATGACATCAGAACACACTCTAGAACTTAAGTTTTCAAAGCAGTGGTAACACCAGTTCTTGTCAAGGGCTGACACACTTGGTTGACTATAGAAAACCATCTGAAAAACCCAGAACATTAGCACTTCTCTGGAGATCTTCAACTTTAACAATGTCTTCAGGAGGGCAACACCTTCCATATTGATGCTCTGATTACCCAATACCAGCTGAGGTGGAGCCAGCACAGTGTGTGCATGCTTGATTAACAAATGCCTTGCACCCAATTTACTAAATTTAAAAACCAGGGAGATCAAAAGAAATGGTTCAAAGACATCTCAAAAAAACAAACATTAAGAAACATAGCATCAATACCACCCACTGGAAGACTGCACCCCAGGCAAGGCTAAACTATCAAAAGACAGCAAGAATGACCACTTTTGAGGAAAATCACCTTGCTGCTCTCAGAAACATACAAACAGAAAAGAAAGGATGACTGGCATGCAGTAATTATGGCCCAACACTGCTTTCTAACATCACCTTCAACGACTGACAGTGAGTTTGCAGCTCAAGGAGCATGGTACTGTCACCAGAGGACCTATTTAAAAAAAAAATCCTGTGGAAGAGGAAATCCCCAAAGGATTGCCACAGATGACAAGAAAAATGTAAGTCTGGAGAAGGTAATTTCAAAATGGTGTAAGGTATCTGCTTTTAGGGGAAATAAATCAGTATCATCCAAGCAAGCAGGAGGACCTTTGAATACAATGCCTCATAGCAACACCCTGCATCACATACTACTTCTGAACTATACACATTAGATTATCAACACCATTTTGCTGTAGGCCTACCGCTTTGAAGGGGGAGCTGCTAATATTCTGGGGCTTTAAAGTCTCCCTAGTTGAGATGTGCTATTAACATTGGTTTCAAATTATATATTTGAATTTATTCTTTAGAGGAACTGACTCCAATCTGAGAACGTCAAAAATTCAAGACATGGCAACCTGTCTCCTTGAAACACTAAATTGCTATAACAAGTGTAGCGGTAACCACCCCCCCAATCACACTAGCCTAGAAGAGGTTAATCCGGTTGAGTGTGGTCCAGTTAACCAGATAAGCCACCTCATTTCCCTCAGATGTGGCCTAAGTAACCCCTGACTGACAGAGCCCAGCTGTGAAGAAACAGGTAAGGCTAAAATAAAGCCAGCAGAAGAGGCCTATAATGAGCACCTGAAGCTAACCCCACACCATGCTCAGAAGTATGGATGAGAATACAGGAAAAGGGCACACTGCAACTGTAGTATGCGATATTTGTTTTCTGTACTCCAAAGTGTTAACCCAGCTATAGACATGCAAAAGGTGTAATACTGTTAAGGAACAAGATAGAGTGCAAAACTGGTCCATAACTGGATGTATAGATGCTAATAATTCAGATGCAACTTATTCTAAAGTGTATTTCAAAGAAAGATGGACGTGTCTAGCTTAAAACAAATGTGCCTGTCAGGACCACATAATTACATTCATAATCAAACAAGTGGACAATGTCTGAACAGTTTGAGAGTAGCAGAGACCTCTAGAGTGTGGAGAACAGCCAGACCATTTTTTAAAAAATGCTGTCACAAAACTGAATAGTTGTGCATTTGTTTTATGCAGATGACATTCTATAGAGGCTAGCATTTTATGACTCCCCACTACTAACAAACATCTTGAATACATCACATCTACATTAGGTAGACAAATGAGCAAAAGCTGTGTTCTCAGCTATAAGAAAGCATGCAGAAGTTTTATTGTTTTGCTACCCCTTGTGCAGTTTTCTAAGTTATAGTACCAGTAAATGCATGGTATAATGAAATCAGGGCAGTAAGTTGTAGTTTCACAGACCATTGATCAAATAGTTTGCAAATTGAAAAAAAACCCACAACACACACACCCAACACAAACACAAACACACCCACAGCCTTGTAAAGCATTAACACGGATAAAAATTCATTAAGCTAAAGCAATCCAAGATACAGCCAAAAAGCAAAAAATAGCACTGTCCATACACAAGTGAAATTAGCATCGAATACTGTAGAGCTCATTTAAAAATGGCACCACTGGACAATATTTTACAATATGCACATTTATTTGAGGCAGGGAAATGAATGCTCCACAGATGAAGTGATAACACAGATAAGTGCCTCTATTGGCCATTTATGGTATTTAGTACAATTTAAAACAAACACTTGAAAAGTAAAAAGCTATGCATGACAGATCTATTGGAAACCCAACGTCTTTAGAGTGGAAAAAATATGGTGCTCCCTCCCCCTTCTTAGCCAGACAGTATTGCCAGAGACTGTGCTCATCTTTAAAGCATATTCTTACTTTAAATTCAGTGCTATTTTCTTTCAGAAATCAGAAGTTGTATTTTTAGATAACAAAAACATTTGTGTTACAATACAGTACAAACATTCAAAAACTGGAAGCTTATGATTCTGGCAAACAACATTGCATATTAAATAGAAACCAACCAGAAATTATCACTGAACATAAAAAACCTTGTTCAATCATAAAAAAATACTATAATTCATCACCGCAGACTTTTTTACATAGTTTATAAATAATAAATAACAGTAGATTACAAATGGATTTTTTAGCCCAGTTAGGTCTTAAGTAGTATTACCTCAGACTAAGGTACTATATCAAGACTATTACTCAAATGTAAATCCTTAGCTAAATGGTATGCAGAGCTAGTATCCAATCCAACCTTAAAGCCTTTCCCTAGAAATTGCCTTCTGTAAGGCAGACAAAGGCATAAAGCTATACAGCAGCTTTGAGGGGAACACATACACTGCTATCTTACAGAATAATTGGGACTGTCCATAGCACCTCCCAATGGAAGAAACACCTTGGAAAAGAGCAATCGCTAAGAAAAAGCAGCACTGAAGACAGCATCTGGTAAACAATCTATAAATTAATTCCTTTGCCCGCCCACCCATTTTACATTCCTTAATTTGTAACAATGTCCCCCAAGGCACAAAAATACCTATGGCCTCAATGCCACAGGAGACACTGATGGCATCATGCACATTCTTCTTTACACAGTAGTTTAAGTAACTTAGTTACTTGCACCATGCATTCTAAATCAAGGCAGGGATTATTTCTTCTTGGCCAATTATCTATGAATATTTGCCATATTCCATAGAATCTGTAAGATGAAGAATGTGGGGAGAGAACTATGCAGTTATGTAAATCATGTTTCACAGGGCATTTGTATTTCCTCTATTAATAACTAATACGCTAGTCACCCTAGAAGTGTCTGTGTTTTGTTTTAAATGCAAACAACTTCCAGAAACATAGTGTTCAACTGCAATGAAACAATTACCAGTAGTATTTCTTCCCCTTCAGGGGCAGAAATGGCTGTGAATAGCTGCAATGACAAAGTTGGAAAAATAACTTTGAGTTAGTCGGAGAAATTAGATATTTCTCCCATCATAACCAGAAGTTGTGTTAATGAAATGAAAGTCTAAAGAAATCTAGTTTCTAAAAGAGTCAAAGAATAAATGAGTATTTCCAAACATCTCTGCAACCAAGTGTTTCTCCAGACAAAATGACCATGATAGTAACATTACGCCATTTTTCCTAGAAATAAAACCCCTAATATTGTAAATAGTTGCCTATTCAGGAATCAAAAGGTTTTTTTCTTTAAAACAAATAAGAGTTCATATAAATTGGACACCTTGTTTGTAAAATAATCAAAACCAGACATTAAGATATAACTTGTCCTTTAAAGAGGCTAAATTAAAACCACTGGGAAGAGTTGCCAAGATTAATTTTTCCATTAGTATTTTTATCCTCATGTTAATGATTCTCAAGGATAGAGTTCTTTTCTCTGTACAAATGTACAGCAAGGAAACAGCACATCCAAACACTGAGTCAGAACTGATTAAGTCACTTAGGTGAAAGATCATCCATCAAAATGAATGAAGAGCATGAATTTGAGCATGTTACTGGAGATTCTGTGGTAATGCTGCCTTTAGCCAGCGAATCAGAGGAAGAACCAATACTGCTGCTACTCCTATCGAGAATATCTGAAGACAGACTGGAGACAAAGGAGAACAGTTACTTACAAACATGTCAACTATGAAATGGCATGCGAAGTTAATGCACTTTGAAAATAAAAATGTAGGAGACATATACTACCACTCAGCCTTTCCTGCAAGACTGGCAGCCCTGAAGACTCCTTATTTTCCTCTAGCATGTTATGGATACATTCATGCTCCTTAAGAGAAAGAGGAGCAGAATTTTTTTTTTTTTTTATAAACATGCAGAATAAATTGATACAAGTTCAACCAGTCGTAGAGTAAAAAAGGCAGGTAATAAAAATAGCCTTTAACAATGACAAGGGAAGTTTAAAACATTCTGATGAAGATTCCAATGATGCAGCTATTTTGATGCCACTGACTAATCAGTTTGCTCTTAAATACAACATCAAAGTGGGATCTTGCAAAACAGTGTTTACCCCCCTTAAGAAAATTCTCCCACAATTGGATTTTAAAGGCTATCGTAATTCCAAGTTTTTATTTGCAAACTGTCACTTTCAGAAGAGTTGAGAAAATGACAGGAGAATTCACACTTGTAGGTGACTTTCCAATGCTACAAAATGTACGAATAAATTTATTATTTGAGAACCACTTAATTGATCTATTGTCTCTCTTTGGAAAGAGACAGAACTCAAGCTGGAAAAGCCACCTTCTTGTTTCTACAAAGAGAGATTAGACTGAGGTACCTCAAATTATTACCAATATAATTTTAACTGTGGAATATCATAATAAGGATTTATCTTCATGCCAATTATTGGCTCATGGGAATGCACGGTATATGTGTTGTACTATAATTCTACAAATATCTGTCTGCTCACTAAACCATTCTGGAAAAGCAAGGCACCTAGCAGGTGACACAGATAGCAAGTTCTAGTCAATATTGAGGGATTCCCTCAAAGCAGAAGAGGGAGATCACCACAGAATAAGTTACATTTACCATGAAACATCTGACATATGAGCAATGGGGATTCCCTGTTTGTTTTGGGTATTAAAAAAAAAAAGTTTCCTCTGAGATGTTCAGATTTGAGCAAAAAGACTTAACCACTCACAGGCAACTCTTTAAATCAGCCAAATAGCAAGTAAGAAAACTAATTCCAGAAAGAAAGATTCCCTAGCTCTATTACTGCTGTGATGAAATGCCAGGTAGTTAAAATTCCTCTGAAATACCAAGGTGCTTAGGATACCTAAATGACCTCTGCTTTGGAGTTTGTGTTTATAATGTATTTTACCATGAACTGAGATCTGTCAAATGTGTAACATCAGGAGAAAGCATATTGGTAGTTCCTTGGAAAAGTCTCTTTGGCTGACTTTCAGTTTCCATTTCACCTGCAAAAAAGTAATTAACACTCAAACTTGTTTGGTTTTATGAAATATCTTCAAAATTCTATTAGACTATTTTATGCGTCCAATATAGTTAGCATATACATGCATAACATCTTGCACTGTGATCTTGAATTCAGCCTGCCTTGGCAGTGCTTGGTAAAAGCTCTACCACCATTGTTCCCTCTAAAATTTTCTATCCTTGGGTGGGTTGAATTTTCTTTTAGACATGTTGAAATTTTTTATGTTCAACACCACTATTGATGTAGCAGGTGGATGTGGACCACCAACACAACAAAAAAAACCCCACACACAGATAAATGTAGAAGCCCCAGAACAAACACACTCTTCAGGGTTTGTAGATGCATGTTTCAAAAAGCTTCCAAATAAGGTTGATCCTACAAAACAACTAGCATCACACCTACTAACTTGCTACTTCTGACTCATAAGAGCCAGAATTCTACCACATAGCAAAGATCTGGCCTTGATGCAATACAATATACCATGTATTAATTAGTAACATAGGATTTCTTTAAAAAACCATTAAGACCAGAGTTTTAGATATTTGCAATACTTCGAAAAGCTTCTGTTAAAAAGAATTTTTCTTTCTTCTCTTAAACCATTGACACCTATGTAAACTTTGTTTGAAATGTAATTATGCAAATGTCCGACAACCCCCCTCCCGCCCCCAAGAAGCCTCCTTCCCTCTACCCCCCCCCTTTCTATCCCAGTCATCTAGAGAGGACTGCAGCAAGTTAGGGACACCACAAACAAGCTGCCCACGCTTCCACCTTATTGCACAGATACAGCACCCAACTATCCCCATTCCTTCACCTACCACTGTGCACTCTGCTCCTCTCAGCGTAGGTGGGGGCTGGAATAAAATCCTTCACAAACTAGCAAGCACAGCAGTCTGTCCTGTCCTAACTCCCAGCTAAAGCACAAACAAATTATCCACACCTCCCAGCACAAACTTCTCCCTGCCTCCACCTCACCCCAATGCCAGCACCTACCCCATGCAGTCAGCCCCTTATCTCTCCTTCCCAGGAGGCTTGAGCGCGCTGTTTCTACCTCTCTCTCTCTCTCCTTCCCCATATGGGACTCTCCAAATTCCCCTCCAGACTCCCCCTCAGCCAATTAATTAATTACTCACTCTCCTCCCACCAGTCATTTATTCCCTTATCTTGCTTTTTATCTGCTCTGGGAACTGCTCAGTGTCAAGCAGGCAGCTAGCTCCATTTAGCTGCTTACTCAGCAAGACGCCCCCCGCCAGTCAGCTGAGCTCCCTGCCTGTGCAGGAGCTTTGAAATTCTGAGCCTAGCTCAGAAAACAGCTGTGCAATTGCATGGCTTACAGAGAACTTAGTCTACCACCACCAGAAGCTATAGCAGTGGTCTCCAACCTTTTTAAGCACAAGATCACTTTTTCAATTTAAGTCAATCCAGGATCTACCTTAAATCCAAATACTCTTGCTCCACCTCCTTCCCTGTGGCTGTGGCTCGGCCCCTGCCCCACTCTCTCTGAGGCTTTGCCCTGCTCACTCTGTGGAGATATGGTACAGGGTAGGAAAAAGGGGGAAACCCTGACATCTCCCTTTTTTTCTCCCCCATCATGCACAGCAAGCAGGAAAATCTCTGGGTTCAGCTCCAAGGCAGCAGAACCATGGCAGTGGGGGGGAGGGGCAGCCAAAGTGCTGGTATGGGATAACCTCCTGGCTAAACCAGTCAGGATCACCTGTCAGAGGCTTCAGGATCTACCTACAGAGCCCGATCTACTGGTTGGTGACCACGGAGCTACAGGAAGTGATTTGATTATTCAGTCCAATCTTTGAATTTATACTGAACTAATTCTTCAACACGTTTTAAGGGACACTATCCTACTGTAAGTACAGTAAAACAAATGTTGTGGTCACTACAATCTCACAGCACTTTTTGTTAAGAGTTGGAAACTAGACCCAGTGTTTTGCTATATGCAAACCCTGATTTATTTCTGCCTATATCAACTCCTCTTGACATTTAATTTGTATTCTTCATTCCTTCCCCTGTGTAGTGTTGCACTATGCCAGTGTTTCTCAATCAGATTGTTTTATTTAAACTGGATTTTTTTGATAAAGTGCTTTGAGGAAAAACATCTAAAGATAGTTTTAATTAAGATACATTAAGCTCAAAGATACCTCAACAAGGTGTAAGGATTATAAATTCTAATTCTTTGGTATGAGAAGAAATATTCTGTAGTAAGAACCTGAAACAAAAGCCTCTCTCTCACAGGCCTGGTGTGATGCCTGAGGCCTAGCTAACAATGGACAAAACTTGGCTAATATAAAGCAAAACTAAGCTGTGAGCAAGAGGCAGGCTCCTGCTCACAGAACTCAGCACAAACAGGGCTGAGAGTGTAAAACACTAACTGGTAATCAGCCCAGGTGTAGAACAGTGATTGGTACTGGTCATAAGGTGAAAGCACATTCCAAAAGGATGGCATCACCAGTTTAAGAAAAACCTTGGTACCCACACTCCCCATAGATACCGACCCAGGTTCAGGAAAGGTTCTAAAATGACAGCACGATGGATAGAGATGTTCTAATAGAACCGCGAGGTACAGGGTAATGGGTGGTATGTAAATAGCCTCAGAGGGTGACAAACTGACATGCCAGGAGTGATGTATAACTTGTTTGTACCCGTATATAAAATGATATCTTGGAGGGGCACTCTTTGTCCAGCCAAGTGGGCAGTGAGACCTCCCATGGGCTGAACTGGGTCCATTGTTACGGGTACATGTGTGTAGTGGTTCAGTGTAGTGTCTACTGGAAACTATTACTGTACTTCGCTTAACAATAAACGTTACTGTGTTGACTAGTTGCACAAGTCAACCTGGCACACATGACTGAACACACACACAGCTTTCTGGTTATCACTGATGGAGACCTGTCAGGACACCATGCCAGTAAATTCTGACTTACTACAGCCACTAAACTGGTGGAAGTTAGATTGAGGCAGCAAGATCTACTGCTTAATAATGTGTGTTTAAATGGAGTATAAATTAGTCTCAGCTTTAACATAGGTTGCCAATTTCAAGTTTAATTGTAATTAAGTTTATTTTAAAGACATAAGCCTGTATTTAAATCAAAATCCAATTTTAATCCATCCTGCCAGAAAAATCTAATAAAGCCTCAGAGAAAGTGAAGCATGTTTCTTTGAAAAGTAATTTATAGCTTCCTGTAGCTAAAAAATGATAGCACATCTAGCACAGATTTTGACTTTCATCAGATTGAGCAATTTAATTTTTTCAGTCTCCAGACCATTTTTATTAATAGTAGCAGGTGAAAGACCAAGATTTAAAATAGCCAGTCATATTGACTAATTGTATAGTTTAATAGAATTCAAGTTTATAAATTAAATCTGCAGTATTCTAAGCAAGTCCATTAATTTCATATTACATCTGAAAGTTTGGTTTAGCAAATTCCAGTACATAATGGAGAAGCATGTGCTATTTTGAGAAAAGGCTACTGTTTAGCATTACACTTTAAAGGCAGAAAGTCTGTCTAGTAACCACAATTCACATAATCATCTTTACATGCTTCTGATATTTTAGACATACCTTTCCTTTTAATGGGACCAAGAACACTGGGTCTGATACAGTTGATTGGACTCTGACTCCTCCTGCTAAAAAGAAGAGCCAATACTGGTATCAAAACCTAAAAAGTTTGAGCTTCAAAATATTTTAATATACTAAACCAATGTACAATCACATCTTAAAAAGTGAATTCCTGTTTTTAAAATAATCTTGTGCAGTTCAAACACTTAGGCAATTGGAAGTCTGATGGTGTAGGTAAACAAAGTTAACTTCTAAAAAGTTTTTTGTTCAGTTAGAACAGAATATCTACTATGCTGTCTTTGGTAGGTAACTTATTTAGTTTTATCAATGGGTTGTCAGTCTCACTTTATCCATTTGTAAGAAAGATACAATACTCCTTTAATATATTTGAGGGATTTAACAACCTTGTCTATTAAGCATTTTGAGATGGTCTATGAAGGACCAAGACTAGTCTCAATTTAAAAAAGAATTCAAAGAACGTTAGCATTCAATTCCCTTTAGTAAAATTTAACATTCAAAGATTTGGGAGGTGGACAATGGTGAAGTCTAATTTCAACATCAGAGCAGTTAAAAAAAAAAAAAGCTTTAAAAATGATCCGTTGACAAAATATTGAAAGAACACTTCAGTCACCTTTCGAAACAGGACAAAATTAGAACCAACCAGAAGCCATTTTAACAACAGATTTCAGGTAAAATTAGTAATGAAAATTGCAAGTAAATTTCTAGACCTGAATTTTAACACTAGAACTATTTTAATCTGCCAAACTACTACTGGAACTAAGTCAGTATGTATTTGTTAAATTAAGACAAATTGACTTACTTCGAAAATCTCCTTGTTGGACTAGGAATAGGACTTGGAGGTAATCCATTACTACTCACAAACATTTGTAATGATGGCGAAAAACATTGCTGGGAAAAGAGTTACACAGTAAAATGCTTCTGCACCTTCTTTTTAAATATTCAATACTTTCTCTCACCCCAAACAAAATGCCCAATGAAAGTAACAAGGCAAGCAATACAATAACTCACTGAAACCTTGAACAGGAAATTAAAACCAAATCTAAGAAGTCTATAAAACTGAATTTACAAAATATTCTAATACCATTCCTTCATTCAAATTAGCTACAGTCAAAATGCTTCAATAAAAACTCTGAAATCAAAAGCTAAGCATGTTATCCATATAGATTTTGGTTTCTGTTCTGCACTTGCATCTAAAAGCATCAGTACAGAGGACTATATCAATCTTTAAACCACTTATTTCCAAAGGACAATCCATGCTTATTTAAAATATCTTTTACCCATTGAAAAAAATTGTGACATAATTTGTCAAAGAGTCTCTTTGCATCCAATTTGTGCTCCTGCAGTTGAACAAAACTCAGCCCCAAGGAGAGGCATGCAGGTGGATTTGTGGCAAACTTGGTCAAGTTTGATTGAGACCTTTGCAACCCTCCCAGAACAAAACATTAATATACGAATAAGCAGCCAGCATTTTACCATCACGTATACCAGCACTGCTTAGAGCAGGTTTCCCGAACAGGGGTAAAAATATTTTGGTTGTTCTACCCTAGCAATAGTGAGTGTTAACACAGACTGTTCCATAGTTATTCTATCATGGAAACTCAAAGTGGTAATTTTAGGATGTGTCTACACTGCAGGGCTTAACTCGAAATAAGCTACGCAAATCGAGCTACATCAACTGCATATCTTATTTCAAAATAGAGCACTCTTCCTCTGACTTACTCTGACTTGTGTAACCCTGACTGTATGAGGAATAAGGTAAGTAGTCCTCCATATGAGGAATAAGGTAAGTAGTCCTCCAGGATTGACAGTATTTTGATACAATTTCAAAATAACTTCCTGATGTGTAAATGTGGACTAAGTTACTTTGGAATAGCAGCTGTTATTTCAAAATAGTGTTACAGTGTAGACGTACTCTTAGTGAAGACAAGGCCAAGATATCTGCCTGTAAACATGGTTGCAGTTTTTCATCTCAATCTCTGCTTCTCATTGGGGGAAAAAAGTGATGCTGGGGGAGGCTCTTTTTCTCCCTTCCACTTCTCTACTTGTTGGGTCTGCAATGAAGAGACCAGGGAGCAACACAAGACTAAAGGGAAAGGAACATCCATTTAAACTTAACACAACCACAGATGAAGTCCTAATCTTTGCTCCCAAAGAGGCTCCAAAGACCCATGCTGAAATTGCTGATGCCATCACCATGTTTTCCAGCACTCAGGCTTGTAAATTCCTCCCTCTTATGCTTCTTCCTTCGCTGTATTTCTAATATCCATCTTTTTTGCGCTGTCCAGGTCCTTGTCTTTCCATTTGATTACCACATCAACCTACCTAGGGCCCCCTATACTCAAAGAGAACAAAAATGCAGCTTTTAACATCTTAACATGGCAAAGGAACCAAGAAGTCAGCAGGTCAGCTTTTGCAGGCTTAGCTAATAAGCTTTAGTAGAGTAATTAGATCATAGAATACTAGGACTGGAAGGGACCTCAAGAGGTCATCGAGTCCAGTCCCCTGCCCTCATGGCAGGACCAAATACTGTCTAGATCATCCCCGATAGACATTCATCTAACTTACTCTTAAGTATCTCCAGAGATGGCGATTCCACAACCTCCCTGGGCAATTTATTCCAGTGTCTGACTACCCTGACAGTCAAACACTTTCTCCTAATGTACAACCTAAACTTCTTGCTTCTTGTTCTATCCTCAGAGGCCAAGATGAACAAGTTTTCTCCCTCCTCCTCATGTTTAGATATCTGAAGAAAAAAAAAAGCTATCATGTGCCCCCTCAATCTTCTCTTTTCTAAACTAAACAAACCCAGTTCCTTCAGTCTTCCTTCATAGGTCATGTTCTCTAGACCATTAATCATTCTTATTGCTCTTCTCTGGACCCTCTCCAATTTCTCCACATCTTTCTGGAAATGTGGTGCCCAGAACTGGACACAATACTCCAACTGAGGCCTAACAAGCGCAGAGTAGAGCAGAAGAATTACTCCTCGTGTCTTGCTCACGACACACCTGTTAATGAATCCCAGAATCACGTTTGCTTTCTTCGCAACAGCATCACACTGCTGACTTATATTCAACTTGTGGTCCACTATAACCCCTAGATCCCTTTCTGCCATACTCCTTCCCAGACAGTCGCTTCCCATTCTGTATGTATGAAACTGATTGTTCCTTCCTAAGTGGAGCACTTAGAATCATAGAATAATAGGACTGGAAGGGACCTCGAGAGGTCATTGAGTCCAGCCCCCGCCCTCAAGGCAGGACCAAGCTCCATCTACACCATCCCTGACAGATGTCTATCTAACCTGTTCTTAAATATCTCCAGAGAGGGAGATTCCACCACCTCCCTTGGCAATTTATTCCAATATTTGACCACCCTGACAGTTAGGAATTTTTTCCTAATGTCCAATCTAAACCTCCCCTGCTACAATTTAAGCCCATTACTCCTTGTCTTGTCCTCAGAAACCAAGAGGAACAAATTTTCTCCTTCCTCCTTGTGACACCCTTTTAGATATTTGAAAACCGCTATCATGTCCCCCCTTAATCTTCTTTTTTCCAAACTAAACAAGCCCAGTTCACGAAGCCTGGCTTCATAGGTCATGTTCTCTAGACCTTTAATCATTCTTGTCGCTCTTCTCTGTACCCTTTCCAATTTCTCCACATCTTTCTTGAAATGTGGCGCCCAGAACTGGACACAGTACTCCAGCTGAGGCCTAACTAGTGCAGAATAGAGCGGCAGAATGACTTCACGAGTTTTGCTTACAACACACCTGTTAATACAACCTAGAATCATATTTGCTTTTTTTGCAACAGCATCACACTGTTGACTCATATTCAACTTGTGGTCCACTATGACCCCTAGATCCCTTTCCGCCATGCTCCTTCCTAGACAGTCGCTTCCCATCTTGTATGTATGGAACTGATTGTTCCTTCCTAAGTGGAGCACTTTGCATTTCTCTTTATTGAACCTCATCCTGTTTACCTCTGACCATTTCTCTAACTTGCTAAGGTCATTTTGAATTATGTCCCTATCCTCCAAAGAAGTTGCAACCCCTCCCAGTTTGGTATCATCTGCAAACTTAATAAGCGTACTCTCTAGCCCAATATCTACATCATTGATGAAGATATTGAACAGTACGGGTCCCAAAACAGACCCTTGTGGAACTCCACTTGTTATCCCTTTCCAGCAGGATTTAGCACCGTGAACAACAACTCTGACTACAGTTATCCAGCCAATTATGCACCCACCTTATCGTGGCCCTATCTAAGTTATATTTGCCTAGTTTGTCAATAAGAATATCATGTGAGACCGTATCAAATGCCTTACTAAAGTCTAGGTATATGACATCCACCGCTTCTCCCTTATCCACAAGGCTCGTTATCCTTGTCATTTCTCTTTATTAAACTTCATCCTATTTCCCTCAGACCATTTCTCCAATTTGTCCAGGTCATTTTGAATTACGACCCTATCCTCCAGATTAGTCGCAACCCCTCCCAGCGTGGTATCATCTGCAAAGATCAGAGATCTCCAACCTTTTATGCCCAAGATCCTTCCCTCAAATTTAAAGGCAAACCAAGATCTGTCCTGCTCCACCTCATCACCCCTTTCTCTCTCACTTTCACTGGGATTCTGGTGCAAGAGGAGGTATGGGGTGCTGGCTGGCTGGAAGGTCAGGAGGCTGAGGTACAAAAGGAAGTTTGGGCTGCTAGCTCTGGGAGAGGCTGCTAGCTCTGGGAGAGGCATCAGGGCAAGGGTTTGGGATGTGGGGAGGTGTTTAAGATGACAACTGAGTTAAAGACTATAACCATTGTTAATCTTTCTTTTGGAACAGTAAATTATTTTGGGGAGTTTTCCCAATTAAAATAAAGTGCAAAATAATGTTTTAATGTGTATTTCTCTCCCCTCGTTCTTCATTTATCTTACCTTCCCTATTCCTCTGGTGGGTGAAGGTGCTGGGGAAACTGGGATGAAGTCTATTCTCTTTGGAGAGGAAGATTTCTCAGACTTGTCCAAGTCATTGTCACTCTGTAAATACAAAATAGCATACATATGTTGACATATAACATTGCTTTAGAACCTGAATTACCACATTTCAATGGCTAAGTCAGTGAAGAAACTAGAACACCCATCTTATGCTTTCTGAAATTACTTCCAAAGTTATTTCCATTCTCCTTAAATCCAATGGCTATGTGCAGAATTGGAATTAAAAATTAAAACATTTATAAAGAGATTACCAGGCTCAAGCTTTCTTCCCATGACTGGCTTATCTGCATTGCTGTTTGCACTTCCCTAAAACACAAAAAATCCTATCAGTGGCTACAAAGATGACAACTCTGGTTACTTTTTTATTTTGTTTCAGTCACACTAACCTTTCATGTGCTGTTTCTCTGTTCATTAAATCCACTCCTTCCTCCTGCAGAAGATAACTTTATAAGATTTCACATTTCAGTTTTTCATGATACTCAAAGAATGACTTTCCCTAGATTAGCATTAGTCTTTAAATGACCGGAGTAACACTTCAGAAGGCTGTCATGCATCCTAACTCACCCCTTCTCCCTGTTCATCCTAGAGCCCCACATGCTATTCTTATGGTCTGCATCATTAGTGGTAAAGCAGTAAACCTTTTTTTTTTTTTTTAATAGAGTACCCCTTTTTTTAAAAAAATTCTAAGTACCCCCAGTACCTATGGTTTTCAGACAATTTTTTTCTACCATTGCAACACATTTGTTTAAACAACTTAATTGTAGCCAGGTGGGCAATGAAATTTTTGGGTGTAAAAAGTACAAAAATAACAACACGCTGTAAAACTTAAAACAAAAATTCAGTTTTTTCCAAATTTCAGTTGTATTGATGTACCCCCCAGACCTCTTGAGTACCCCTGAGGATACCTGTGCCACTGGTTGAGAAACACTATGCTAAAGCATTTCAATATGAAGAAAGTATAATCCCCTCTGAGGACACCACTCCAGACTGTAGGTAACTATATTAGAGGATGAAATGGAGCTAAACAGATCTAATGGAGAAGGAAATATCAAATACTTCATGAAGAGAAGGAAAATGGAACGTGTTGATAAAATATCACATGCGAAGCAAAGTAATGCAATTTACCCTTCTGATCTGATGAAGCCTGCTGCTAGGAATTCGAATTGGAGAGGATGATAGCAACTGGAAAAAGAGTAAACATCCACTTAATCACAAACCAGTAGCCTGCACATAGCCTATTCTCAGTCATATTATCTTTAAACTGAAACTAAGCTAACCAGGTGTCAATAAGTTCTCAGAACTCAGACTACAGTGTAATAAGATGATAGTGGACCTTACAGCAGCTAGTGCTCTCTTCTCACCAAATTCATTCCATTAATCAATGGATGGCACAGCTCTCAGCACTTGTAAGAATACATAGTTCTTAAAGGTAGCAGCAATAATAAAAACCATTCCAAACAATGGAATATTGTAATAAGGACATAGGCAGGAGTTAGTGGATTTCAAAACATAACTTTATATTTAAAAAAATTGTAAGATATTGTTCACAAGTCTTAACTAATTGTTTCTCTCAGATAATCTATGGCAGGGGTTTTTAATGCCGAGTCGTGGGTTCACCTCGGTAAACTGCTGGCAGGCTGAGAGACATGCTGTTTATCTAAGCATGGCCCATGCTGCTTTCCGCAGCTCCCCTTGGCTGGAAATGGTGACCCGCAGCCAATGGGATCTGTAAGGCTCCATGCCAATAAATGCTTAGATAAACAAAACATCACACAACCTGCAATGGCTTCCCTGGGTGGTCCCACAACCCAACTTTGAAAACCCGTGATCTATGAAGATTAAGTGAAATCAGATCATATCACAAATCTTCAGACGTGCCAGTGGGAAAAGGTCTAGGGAATATAAATATTGTAAATAGCCATTTGGGATAAACTTAAGCCCTTGGAGGCAAACACTGTCTCATAGACCTATGTGCTGTATAAACATAGCTAATTAAGGGCTTTGGGCTCTATCATAAAATAAGCATTTACTATGACAACTAACAACATCAAGCATAAGGCAGTGAATCAACACCTCCATGACAAAATGCTTAAAACCAGAATTCTGTCTCTCTTGCTAGGCTGAATCTAAGAAAGAATCAATAAATATTTTATACACTTTTAGGACCTTTTAAGTCCCATAACCTCTCTCAAGAGCCAAGACCTACTCTTTACTTCCTATAAAAACAGGAAAACAATTATTTTTGCTGAAAAACAGTAATGTATTTCCCATGATATGTCCAAGTTAGCGATTAATTGGGAAACACTTAGGAGTGACCTACAAACATTTTTGAGAAATGAAATAAATTAGGACTGTATGCTGAAAGCCCTAAACAGTAACAAGTAGACTAACATTCAGCATATGAGTTACTTTAAAGTTACCTTCTCTTAATCTGATCCTGTGAAGCCTGCTGTCCACCTCTAGCTCTAGTCACCCTATCAGGGAGTCAAGTAAATGGAAGGTTTTGGGGATTTTTTGTTTTTTTTAAGACAGTTCAACCGTGCAAGGTTATTTTAAAATGAGACTGCAATTACCTTTTCCCATCCCCCAGGCAAATTCCATGCTTTGAGTTTTGTGACCAGAACAGATGTTGGGTTCCACTCTGCTATGACATCCCAACTACAGGCAATTTTAACCATAACAAAAAGGCGGGATAGTAATCAGTAATATGCTCTGTGAGGCATTCTGCTTACATCTGTAAAAGTACTGATTTTTCAGAGAACATTTGCAAGTAACTTAAATCCATTTTACAGCTAGATCTATAAGAATACTTCAATATAGCTACAAATGAACTTTAAACTTTTTATTTCTCTCACTCAATTACACATTGCAGAGGTGTGAACACTGTATTTAAGTTAACTTACCATACTGTGTCGATTCATAATTGTTGTACTATTCCTGCGGGTTCGCAACACATAAGGCTGAAAAACTTGTGAATTATCACTGAAAGAGATTACAATAGTTATATTAAGGCACAGTTTATTTTTCAATATTTATTTTCCCCCATTTCATTTGGAGTACTACTTCACAAACTAAAGCTGGTAAGGCCTTGGAAAACACTGGCTTGTCATCTTTGTAAAGCTAGACTCAAGTTTCTCCATAGTTGAATGAAATTCTACTTTTAGTATCTGAAATCCTAGACAGCTCAGGCACCTTTTGTAGACAACCATCTACCTTAAGTCTAAACTTTTTTTTAACCATCTAGAGATATTGCTTTTAATTACCATGTGGTATTCAGCAGACCAGTCCCTTGGACTGAGATTAGCAAACAGATGCTAGGTGCAGGGTTTATACCAATTACACAATGCTAACCTTACAAAAAGCCACAAAAGGTTTCAAGAGGTAACAGTTAAACTGAGCCTAGCCTACATTGAGAACCTAGGAAAATATATGGAATTAGTTGTCTATAAGCATGTACCAAAACAAAATCAACTGACTTTCTTGCTTGGTCATCCAAAGGCTCTCAAAGACACTTCAGAGATATTAATGGTAGGGATGTTAAATATCAGTTAATTGAATAGTCAATTAACCTCATGAATTTTTATCGGTTAGTCAACTATTCTATAGTCCGTGGGGCAGGGCCAGCAGACAGTGCACTCTGACCCCACTCCCTGGGAGCCCCCTGCCACCCAGCGCTGCAGCAACCCCTATCCGGGGATGGGGTCTGAGCTCCCGGACCCAGCATGAGCTTTGCTGCTGGCCTACCTGCTTAAAAAAAAAAAATACTGCTGGGAAGAGGGGGGAAATGCATGAGTCTATAGCACTAACTATAAGCTTTTGCTTATCGGTTAATCAACTAGACTATTACTTCCCTAGTGAATGGTGAACTGGTACGCCAGGTCAGGCTTACCAGTAACAGTTAACTGGTGGGGGCTGCAGCAGCCTTCAACCAGAGCACACCATGGACAGGGACAGGCCCGCTGAAGCCCAACTAGGCTGGTGCACCCGCCCCCAACCTACTCCTTTTAACTGGTTAAACTTCACATGTAACCAGTTAAGTTCAACAAGATTTTAGAATGATGCATCTTCTGAACACAGTGTACCCGCACCGCATGCCTGCGGGGGGCAGCCACCGGGGGACCATACTGACGCTGGGACAGGGATCAGCTGCACGATGCAAGCCCCTCCCCTGCTGGGATAACCCCCCACCAAAACGCAGGCTTCCTCTCAAACACCAGGACAACCTGGGCTCTCCGAGGAACCGCTGGACGGCCGGAAAGGGCCCCGGCAGGGCCCGCGTCTCACCCGAGCCCAGAGATGTATCCGCACGAGGCCGAGGTCTCTTACCCGAGACTACAGACCGGGGGGGGGCGGGGCGCCGCGCGGCGGCAA